CAAAGATTTGTCTATATGGATGGTTGATTGAAACTTGGTTGCTTGTAGTGTAGTAGATTGAATTTTGGGAGAAGGTGTAGACTATATAAGATTTTTTTTTCTTCAAACTACTCCTTTTCATTCAGAACTTTTGTTTATGTCAACATGTGACATATTTACTTTAAACTGTAAATGAATGAAATAAAATAAATCAATTCAAAAATACACTCAGTTAGGGTTGCACAATATTGGATTTTTGACCAATATCTGATATACCAATATGTTAACTTATTTGGCCGATAACCGATACAAATACTGATATTTTTTTCCCTAGACCTACTTACAGAGACTACATATCTTTCTCTGTTGTGGAATTAAAATACTACATTATTCTGCACGGTCTTTGTCAGTTTGGCCTGCTACCAAATGCAGACGCCAAAAAGAGGGCTGAAAATGATGTAACACTTCAACTTGGATAATAGTTAATGTTAAATTTATTCATGACATTTACTCTAACACAATGACGACACTCGAACAGTGCAAATTTGTAACTTTTCACAAATCTAAACTCAAACCTGTTCACAAGCGATAAGTGAAAAATGCATAAGTAGTAGTGCATTAATAAATATACTTGACAGTATCTTAAATTAAAAATTAAACATAAAACAGAAGCCTTTTGTAAATCGGTGAGTTTTTTTAATGGAATGGCCGATATCCGATATTATCGCTAATATCGGTCTATACCGATACCATGCCGATAATATCGTGCATCCCTACACTCATTCACAGAAAAAAGGCTTTTGTTTAGAATTAAAGAGAAATACCTGATGTTTATTGTGAGCAACTCAAATCATTATAATTTTAAATTTAAATATCGACGTGGTTCTATGATTTAGTGTGAACTTCTTGAACTTTTAACCTATCTGTCCATGCCTTGTAACTCAAAAATGCAGGCTGCGTCACTAGGGGTGTTTACTTAAAAAAAAAAAAAACACGTTAAAACTTTGAGCTAAAATGAATGAAAATGATGGTTGAACATTTCTGCTTCCCAGAAAATAAACTTGTGTTATCTGTAGTCTGATACGCTTCAGGATGTGTGTATTTAAAATTGAAACAAGGATTTGTGCTGCTAGCTGTACAAATGAGTTATTTTGTCTCCGTCCAGAGAACGAGGTGATTGAGGAGACCAAACACGACTTCCCCAAGGACTTCTCTCACAGTTTCCCAGACCACAAGAAGCCACAAACACACACAAGACGAAAGAGAAGCACTGGTGAGACACATTCACAAACTCCTGGATTATTGTGAAAATTATAAACTTTTTCAGTCGACACATTAAGACCTCAGGCAAAACAGGCTCTGAAGCTACGTGTTGTAAATAAGCATTTGACCTCTCCTGCAGTGGTCGAAGAAGCCCTGCCAGCAGCGTGTAAAGTTCGCACGATCATTTATGAAATCCCCAGGAGCCAGGTGGATCCCACTTCAGCCAACTTCATCATCTGGCCTCCCTGCGTGGAGGTGAAACGCTGCACCGGCTGCTGCAACACGAGCAACATGAGGTGCCAGGCGGCTCGCAGAAACCACCGTACGGTCAAGGTAGGAGGCAAAAATCTTCCATTTGCTATCAGAATATATTACCTAAACTTGATCTTGTTCTGTTTGTTTTTCACTTTTAAATTCGATGGAAGTGCAACAGGTGTCAGATGTTCGGTCCATGTTTTCACCAGGTGTTTTAGCTGCGTACTCAAAACTTGGGCATAAATGCAGAGAATTGCAGTGCAGAGTGAATCTTTTTCTTAATTTTAGCTATGTAAAAAGTGTTTTAATGTATTTAAACAAGTTTGCATGTGCTTAAGAGTCAACATTCGGTCTAATCAGAATCGGAGCTTTATTCATTTTTCAGTTTGGACCACACGTAAACACAAGTTGTTGATTGTTCAGGTTGCCTAAAAGTGAAACAGATGGTTCAACAAGTTCAACAGAGATTTCAACTGGATGCAACATCTGTATGAACCTCTGGATGCAGCTGGAGTCATTAAAGTCATGAAAAATACAGATTCTGAAATAAGTATCTATACAGACACTCGAGAATACACCATCCATCCATCCACCTTACCCGCTTCTTCCTTTTCGGGCCGCGGGGGTCACAGGTGCCCATGCAGCAGTTTCTGTGTGAGAGGGAACAGAAGAGTTTGAGTTTCTGTGCTTTAACGTCCTGAAGCTCCATCTCAGATGAAAGGACTTGTTCCTTGTCTGCTCACAGAGGAAATCAAAGATAAAGTCGCTCACATGCGCAGAGATTATTCAGCGTTCAGAGGGTGCACGGACAGGGCTGCACTCAGAAACAGCCTGAAGGAACAGGTGGCGTGACCACGTGTGGAAAAAAAGAAAGAAAAAATAACTAAAATCATATGAATCAACAATTTATAATGTATGATTAATATAATTTCAGAAGATGGATTGTTTTTTATTTTCAGGATAATTATTGTCTCAGAGGGATAAATGAATATTTGTTTTTGCTTAAGTTAAGCCAGTCTTTTTGACAACATTCACACAACTTCTAATTGTTTTAATTTTATTTTATTATTCAAACTCAATTTGTCTGACCGAGTGACCTGATGAGCATCACTTTTCTCAGATGTGCTCGTGTCATAGAATGCTTCCAGATAAAGCTGTCAAGCTCAAACTTGATGGGTAATTAATTTTTTAAATAATAAATTAAATAAATAAATAATAATAATAATTCATTTCATACTGGAGGAACACATATTTTTATAAATTTCCAGCTGTATAAAACTGATTTTTTTTTCTTAAACAAATTATTATTTTTTTTACATTTTTTATTGTTTGTTTGTGCTCAGTTCTAAACGCTTTGAAATGTGATCACATTTTAGGTAGCATTTGTGCAGAAATAAAAAAACCACCTCTGTAGATTGACAACTAACCTTCCACACTCAAAGGAACCACATCTGGATTAATAAAGATACATTCTGCTGGGATGGAGGTTGGACAGGCACCGACCTGCCACTTTTGACAGCAACAACAATTTTTCTCTTACATTATTATTTCTGAGTCACTTTTTCAGTTTAAACCTTAGGTTTTATTTTCATTCATGCTTTTATTTTTAACTTCCCTCTTAATGGTGATGAAACTGAACCACTGACTTCGAAACACTGAAAGTGTTTCAGCAAGAAATATAAACATGTGTTCCTTGACAACGTTAAAGTTTTCATTTTGTTGGGTACATGCCGTATAATCCATTCCTTATTATGCCTCGAGCTGTGGATCACTCCCAGGCCAGTTTGCTGACTGTTCAAGTCCAGATGTTCAGATTAGCAGTTCTGACACTTCTCAAAGTCATGATGGATGATTATTACAGGGTTTGTCAGCTCATTTTTTTAAGTGATGTCCTGTCGTCTAGTTATTAGTCAGTTTCCTTCGAGCTGTGACATTAGTGATAAAATAATTAGTAATGAGGAAAAGGGTAGAAGTCTTTAGGCTAGGCTAATGGCTAACCAAACAAGGACTGTTTTTGTCACTTTCAGTGTTGGGTTGGATGCAGATGCAGGCCAACATGAGGAGCAAAGGACATAAACTAAAAATCTTATTTGTATTAACAAAACAAAAAGATGGTACGGCAGCAAAATTTACAAATGCATAACACAGAAATGCACAAAGAGAATTGAGATACAGTGTATGGGTGAACCGATACAACGAGCCGCTGGTGAGGTGGTGACAAGAAACCGTTTAAGCAGCAAACTGAGGGAGCGAGGAAAGTGGGAACACCTGGGCTGATTGTTGATTAGGAACAGATGAGGATGACAGACTCACTGAACAAACACTGAGGAGGCTGACTGAGGGTAAATGGAAGATGGCACAAGAAACACTGAGAACCAAAACAAGACCTAAACCAGAATACTCAAATAAAACCTAACAATGAAACACTAAAGCACAAAAGATTTAAAGTGAAGAGGAAAACACAACAGAACCCAAATGATAAAAAAAAAAAAAACATTAACAATGTAAGGAATAATACTAAGAACTTCAAAGTTCATGCTCAATAATCCAAGTTAAAAATCCCCAGCTAACTGGTTGGTCCACTTTGTGAGTGTGCTGCTTGTGGGACTAAGTTTGTTGTGGCTCCTTGGACTGATGAAGTCCTTTAGATGAAGGAGGAAACGTCTCAAAAAAAAAAAAAAAAAAGAAACCTTCCAGATAATCTGACTGAACTAAAAAGAATTTGTTACTTTGTACTGAAACTCTGGCACAACAATTTCCTGTGGGATTAATAAAGTTCTATCTTATTTTATGTTATGAAGTTAAGGACTAAATAAAATCACAAAAAAGCACAGATACAACTTTTTTTTTTTGGTTGGGTTTTTTTTTTTTTTGGTCTCTTTTTTTTTAATCTTTAATCATTTATCAGGCTTAGCAAACAAGTTCTTCTCACAAACCACATTCTATTGTAAAGGAATGCCACATTAGCTAATAATAAACCTCCACACATTTTCATGACAACATTTATTCATTTAGTCAGTGTATTCTCAACCAAAGAACGTTGACGTTTCTACATAAATGCATCGACGCTCCGAGCAGAAACTGTGCGTTTATCGTGTGCTGAGGCTGTGAATGTGTCACCACGTGCAGTCAGTCTAAAAGTTTATTCAACTCTTAATACATTCGCTGCCTTCGCCTCAATGACGTGCACAGTCTATCTGTGTTTTGACATAGAAACAGACATTGTTCTATCAAAAAAATAAAGATAAACTAAACAAATGGTGTCAGGCAAAACTGTAAAGGTTTATTATTAGCCACCGTGGTGCTATTTCACATAGTTGTGTCATTTCTCCAAAAGAGTTGTTTTATAAAACAATTTTTTTTAAATAGATGCTCATTTGTATATACCAGAAGTCTGCAACCTTTTTGATCAAAAGAGCCATTTCTGCCTCTTCGCGCACTAAATAAAACGTGTCTGGAGCCACAAAACCTGCTACAACTGTGATTATCAACTGATGGCCCATGGGCCACTGAGATTGTTGGAGAGGGGCTTTTCTGGCCAGTGGGGGTGACATTATATCATGCATTTTAATATTTATTGATATTTTTACATTTGATGACAAAAAAGACAATATCACATAAAGAAGGAAAAGAATTATAATTTATACAGATTTTGATTAAAATTAAATCACTGAACTCTGCAGACATTTGTGAGGAATAATAAATAAGTTTCAGACGTGGCTGCAGTAGCTCGGTGGCCAGTGCCGCAGTCTTGTAATCCTGAGGTTGTGGGTTTGAGCCCAGGTTGCGTCAGGAAGGGCATCCGGCGTAAAACAAATTGCCAGATCTTTCATGCGAGTGGTGACCCCTGAAGAAGGGAGCAGCTGAAAGAAACTTACCACCGGTACTTCAACAATTTCCTGTGGGATCGATAAAGTTCTTAACTTATCTTTACTTACTAGTGGTTATCAAGCAACAATGTACAAAAATATGATATGTTGAATATATGTAATGCAGAAAATTGGGTTGCCACACCGATGTGCAAAATGGCTGCCATCTTAAATGTCTGTCCGTCTTTATGATCTGGATCATTTGAAAAATAAGTGAGGCACCAACTTCCATTAGTGTCTGGCTGCATCAAGACGTAAGAAAAGTCACCACTGAACATTTGGCTTCCATGTCAAAATCTTTGATGGCCACCTAAGATAGCTGAGTGGTTAGAGCAGTCGTCCTTCAATGGGAGAGTTGGGGGTTAGATTCCACCAGCAGACACATGTTGAAGTGTCCCTGGGGAAGACACTGAACCCCTCCAATGTGTGTCCCATCAGTGTATGAATGTGATCTTAAAGCACTGGTTATTCTTTTTTGAAGGATTTGTTCAGCTTTATATAGATCTAGTAGAGTGTTGTATGAATGTGTGTGTGGAGGTAAATGAGGACACAGATTGTAGTGTAAAGCTCTTTGAGTGTCTTGATAAGATAGAAAGGTGCTGTAGAAGTACAATCCATTTACCACCACCATTGACATGTAAACGGACGACTCAAATCTTTTGAGGAAACTATACACCCTAGTTTCTATGTTGCTTAAAAGTATAATTTGCTTTACTGATTGAGTAAAAAAATAAAAAGCAATGTGCTGACTTCCAGGGGCAGCACGGTGACGCAACTGGTAGAGCTGCTGCCTCTCAGCGAGCAGGTCCTTGGTTCAAACCCCAGTCCAGGGGCCTTTCTGGGTGGACCCTGCATGTTCTCTCCGTGCATGCGTGGGTTTTCTCCGGGTGCTCCGGTTTCCTCCCACAGACCAAAAACATGCATGTTAGGCTGATTGGTAACTCTAAATTGTCCCTAGGTGTGAGTGAGAGAGTGAATGTTTGTTTGTCTCGTTTGTCTCTGTGTCCCTGTGATGGACTTGTGACCCGTCCAGGGTGTACCCCGCCCCTCGCACAGTGATTGCTGGACATGGGCACCAGCGACCCCCGTGACCCAAAATGGAATAAACGGGTAAAGATAATGGATGGATGGATTGAAAACCGGGTTGTCACGTTGGCGGCACGGTGGCTCAGTTGGTGGAGCTGTCATCTCTCAGCGAGAAGATCCCCG